TGGAATCTGCTGTCGAAGTTTTTCAAGCTAATTTCGGGGGTGGGTAGTCCCTAAGTTAAGCGAGAAAGAGTTCCGTAGGACACACATTCGTTCAAAATGCAATTGCAATTAATTAATAAATAATCACAGGGTTCAGTTTCACAGAATCCCTTCATAAATTATATTATAGTATCTTTATTGTGTTGCAGGTTTCTTATGAGTTTTTTCTGATCACAAAAAAAGACGAAGATATATTTCTGACGAAATATCGCGAATATTCACTCAAAAAAATAAATGACTAGAATTTCCTGTAACTGAGATTCCTGTTACCTAAAAACCACTTTTATTACAAAAACCGGAAAAATACACAGTATAAAATCGCTTCGAGTTAAATTCGCAGAGTATGTTTTTAGAGTTAAAATACTCTTGCAAACTCACTCTGATACTGCAATCAACTCTATAACTACACTTCTCGCAGATTATCTCTATTGAAGATAATTCTAGATTGAATTTTCACTAATGTCGTATTGAATGCACTCTATATTCCTAAAATGTCAATGAAATAGCAATTCAGATAACTCAATTCACTAACAATTGAGATTGAATTCATACTAGTGTTAACTGACACTAGTGAACTTGAATGTTCCACTCGTGTCGATTAAATTGACACTCTATCATTGTTCAATTCAATCTATATACGATGAAATATCAATCTATACAGGTTCAGATCGTTTAGTCTACTGGACAGTGGAATAAGAAATACTGATATAGTGTCAATGATATAATGATCATGATATTAGCTTCAAGTAGCTTTTTTACTTTACCCACGTAGTGAGAGATTTTTCTCAATATTGTGTTATTAACGTATTTCCGTATATACCTATCTCAGCAGTTATTTTCCGTTTTTTTCCGTTTCGAATTATTATTTCGAACGATTCATGAAACAGATTGGTTAACTAAGTAGTTTAGTGGGACGCGAGTCATTTTCAAATATCAAACTATTAAAATATTATAAAGTCACACTACTTCTCATCCGTCAATTCGCGCCACTGCATGCAGGTGACGCTGCAGAGACTATGCCGAGATTTCGCCGCTGAACGTCTGTCGGAGTCCAATAAATACTGTGACATGTGAAATAATGCTTAATCTAACTTGGATGAAATCTCAATAGGAAATAGTAACTAGTTTACTCAACTAGTGTTTTATATCAATCTAAAATGATGAATAAATGATAACTCCTTATTAGCACCTAAGCATATGGTAGTGTCAATTTGAAGAATGCAGGAGTCATTTGACATACAGGTAGTGTAATTAATACAATAAATTTCCGGTGGATCCGACACTGTTCATAGTGTGAAATATACTCTGTACTATTATATTCCCAACTCTCAACCTTTGTGACTATGTAATATTCAGTTATAGAATTTCACTCTGAAGTGATGATATTGACACTAGTTTGGGGTCTTTCAACTCTATTTTTGTGTTCATTCAATATATTTAGAGAAATAAATAGAGTAAGTTTCAATGTGCTTCCATTGAACATTCACACTAATTGAATTGAAAAAATCACACCATAATATAATGAACTATACAGGGTGCGGCACCGAAAACGAAACAGATCGAATATCTTATAGACACATGTGTTTTGAAAAAAATGCAAAAACACGTCGATTTGTAAACCAAGGGGGACATCTTTCTACCATAACCTCAACTGTCATACCTCTCTCTCCTCCCCTTGGTCACTATCACCCATACAATTTAAATAGGGAAAGTACTAAGTGTGACACATCACTGAAAAGGTTATTTGATAAGGAATTCAGCCATGTGAGTGTTCGCTATGTAACTTTTTATTTTGGCGCCCTCTTGTGGAAAAACAACTGTTCCGTATTCCAAAGTATGATACTTCATTTGAAAGCTACTTTGAACAATTCAGAAAAAAAGAATAAAAATTTAAAAAATGACAGTGTATGAACTTAAAAATTGGAAAGGCTTGCATAAATTTTACTACAATCATTCCAAACTACAATAATTCACAAAAGCTGCTCAAAGTGTTCTCCATTAACTGCCATACATGAGTATAAGTTAGTCTCGAAACGTTGTCTGACGTTTTGGAGCATTTCTGGAGTTATTTGACGACATTCGTACCTTTGAATAAAAATTGACTTACTACGCCTATGTTTTGGTACAATAAAAAACCTTTTGTTTCAGTGCTTAGTTGTGTCGGTTTATTGTCAGTAGTACTTCAGGTATATTAACGAGTAAAACATAAAAATGGTTCATAGTATTCAGGATAGAGTAGAAATAATTGAATATTATTTGAAAAATAATGAATGTGCCAACACAGCCAGTAGAATGTTCAATGAGCAACACCCAAACAAAAACGTTAATCGTAAATACGTTTTGGAGCTGATTTCAAAATTTCGACGAACGGGATCTGTGGCAAATAAAAAACGTCAAATTGAAAAGCCAGTAAGAAATGAAGCAGTAGAGGTAGCCGTTTTAGGACAGGTTGTTGCGGATCCAACTCTTAGTACACGAAAGCTTGCCGTACTATCTGGAGTAAGTCAACGTACCGTCGGGCGAATTTTGAAAGCTCACAGATTCCATCCCTATAAAATTAAACTGGTTCAGGAACTTAACGAAGACGATTTTGATCGTCGCTTACAATTTTGTGAAATCATGAGTGAACGTGCTATACGAGAACCAAATTTCCTTTTTAACATTTGTTTTTCGGATGAATGCAGTTTTTATCGCAACGGGACTGTCAATCGTCATAATTGTCGGTATTGGTCAGATTCCAATCCAAGAGTGTTTCATCAAGTACATACTCAACACCCAGAAAAGTTAAACGTTTGGGCTGGAATATTTGGCGATCGTGTTATTGGTCCATTTTTTTACCAGGTAATTTGACTGGGGACATGTATTTGGAATTACTCGAAGATACCGTTGATCCAACGTTAACAGACATAATAGAAAACGATAACCGATACCTTGAAGATCACCTAATATTCCAACAGGACGGAGCTTCTCCACATTTTGCTGCAGCAGTTCGTCAATATCTGAATGAAAGATTTCCTAGACACTGGATTGGAAGAAGAGGATTCATTGAATGGCCCCCCCCGATCTCCCGATTTATCTCCCTTAGATTACTTTTTGTGGGGCCATTTAAAAAGTAAAATATACGCCGCTCAGCCAGGTTCTTTAGACGAGTTACGTCATCGTATTATTACCGAATGTCGTCAAATAACTCCAGAAATGCTCCAAAACGTCAGACAACGTTTCGAGACTAACTTATACTCATGTATGGCAGTTAATGGAGAACACTTTGAGCAGCTATTGTGAATTATTGTAGTTTGGAATGATTGTAGTAACATTTATGCAAGCCTTTCCAATTTTTAAGTTCATACACTGTCATTTTTTAAATTTTTATTCTTTTTTTCTGAATTGTTCAAAGTAGCTTTCAAATGAAGTATCATACTTTGGAATACGGAACAGTTGTTTTCCCCGCAAGAGGGCGCCAAAATAAAAAGTTACGTAGCGAACACTCACATGGCTGAATTCCTTATCAAATAACCTTTTCAGTGATGTGTCACACTTAGTACTTTCCCTATTTAAATTGTATGGGTGATAGTGACCAACGTGTTTTTGCATTTTTTTTCACAACACATGTGTCTATAAGATATTCGATCTGTTTCGTTTTCGGTGCCGCACCCTGTAGAGTTAAATCATTCACTCTAGAGCTTAGTGGTCCTCCTGGGAACAGGTATAGTGTTAAATTTCACTCTATTTTTTTTACTGTGTACTGACAACCTAACATAACGATTCCTGTTGAACCGGATTATGTTACATGAACAGGAAAAAACTTAGGATTTGCAGACATTAAAAACTTTCGAATTTCCTATAATTATTCCTATTATCAGAAAACATAATATTGTTCCTGAAGCAAGAATAAAGAATAATATTATTAGGAATAGTTGAGTTAATGGGGGAAATATTCAAAAGTAAATGTAACAGGAATGTGTAGTGAATGGAGTATAACATATATGTGATATTAACAGGAATAGCAGAGTTAATGATTTGAGTAATGAACTGCTAATCTAACAAGAATTTCTAGTAAATCAAAATGAATAGTTCTCACGATTAAAAAAAAAACTACAATGGGACTAACAGGACGAGTGGTATTGTAAAATAAACAAAAAAGGAATGTGCGAAACGAAGTTCCTTACACTTTTTTTTTGCAATGGTCTCTTCGACGCTGATGGGCATTGCTTTGGATCAAAAATTGTATAAGTTTTGCGTTTAAACTCGATGTGTTTCTTGAACGAAAAAATAATTGCACATAAGAAAATCATATAATCTCCAACCTTGAAAACCACTTTTAAAACCAAATTTTAATCGAATCGGACCTGGGACCTTTGTTCGGCGCATTCTGTGTTTTTTTTCCAAATATATACTCATATTTAGATAAACTTGATGAAAACAGGCTCCCAAAGAAGTTTGTTCCAAAAATGAAATATCCGATTTTACTATAGGTATAATATAAAAAGAAAAATATAGTCCAGATAAAACACAGGAAGATTGGCACAATAAAAATCTATTGTATTCCGAAACTACTTCTCTACTACTTGTTCTAAAAGGGACTGAATTCAATTGGATTGTAAATTCCTGTTATTATTACAGGAATAGTATTTCATTGTAACAGGTTTATAAAATCCTGTTAATTTTACAGAGAGAGTCTGTTGCAATTTCCATAATTTTGAATGTAATCTGATTTCCCTTCAATTCAACAAATCATTCCTTTAAAATGCAAAGGTAGCCCTGCCACTGGTACAGGAATATTGTATCAATAATGACCACCGGCGCGCTGATCTCACCCACTGACCGACGCGAGCCATTATTTAAATTTTTCTCGTGTTAGGGTAAAGATGTTCGGGTGGCCGGTCTGACGGTGATGTTATGGAAGTGTGGTTAGGTCTGCGTAGTGTTTGTGTTTGGATAACTTGAATTGATAATTCACAACAATGGATTCGAACACCCGTGAAGATTTTCCATCCGATGTGGAAAGTGCTATGGATTTTAATGTTCGGTTCGGAAGTGCCATTTGCAATTTAGATGCACTGGACCGGCATGATCGAGGACTTGACCCGATAGACGTAGATATTTCGGATGCTGCTTCGGACCTCGCTGGATATCTCAGAAGTTGGGATTTGAGTCAGTACATCGATATATTCAGACGTAAGTTATTTTGTTTCTTTATATATGTATCCATGTTATCTATATTATAGTTAATAGAAAGGTATGATATACGATATTTACCCTGTTCATTAAATGGTAAAATTCCATTGATCAGATGCTCGAATTGAGATATAATTTCTGGTTATCCTTACGTAGGTAGGTATGTTTGTCTTCCTGAAAACAGTTCTGAAATTATATGTAGAACCTGTACACTGTGTCTAGCCACCTTAACTGTGTCCAAGATACGAATTTTGTAGATATCCGAGAAAAATCGAAATTCGAGAATTTTTTTCTCCTAGAATTTATTTCGAAGGAAATGTATAATAGCACTTTGTCATGAAAACTTTTCAAGGACTACATGATAACGTAAGCAGAATTTTTCTTTATATTTTTAAGTAGGTAAGCACATAATATTTTGTGCAAAAAAATTGTTCTGAAATCATGTAATACGTTGCTGTATTCCCAATGAAAAATGGAGTCGTATACAGGGTATACTTTAGATTCGGACCATTTAAAAATACAAAGTTGATGATGTTTTCTAATAGACGAAACGTCGCAGAAAAAATCTGCTCACGTGATCATGTACCTACTCCTTGAAAAGTGGTCATGACAAAGTGCTATTTGTTGTACTTAAAAGCTAGGAGAAAAAAAAATTCCCAAATTTTGGTTTTTTATTGAATCTTTCTAAATTACATATTATCAGGCATCATAAATGCGCTGCACTTCTCTAATTTTATTGACCTTGTATCACTTACCGTTTTCGGTGTCCCCATGCTGTTCATTCTTATCTTTGATACACTATATAGTAGGAATAATTATTCGTTGATTTCATTCGTCGTTTTCCTACACGTTACACCTTTCCGCACACCGCGCGGCTAAGGTGTATTCCGCACTGATTGCTGAAAAGTACTACTTTGCGCACGCTCATAGGAAAAATATTGGGTAGGAGAGGTGCCTTTTCCGCACCCAAAAACTTACACGAACTCCGCTGGGAGTCGTTCGCCTAACTGCTCTGGGTGCGCAAAAGTAACACTTTGCGCACTTGTTAGGAAAGTAACTAATTTCAACTCGCGGGGCGTAGGATTATTGGAATTTGACCTAATCAGATAAGTATTGAAAATTATAATCTTGTTGCAGGAAATGATATAACTCTAGGGAGTTTACCCTTCTTAAAGGATGATATGATAAAGGAACTGATACCTTCCATAGGGCATAGAGCAATATTTTTATCGCACTGGGAGAAGTGGAAAATCAGCATGGTTTCGGCTGCTTCACCATCTCCTCCAATCTCTCAAAGTGGAGAGTATTCGCCTGCACAATACAATCAGGAACCATCAAATAATGCGGAAGCTTCGGCGGAAGCTTCGGCGGAAGCACAGAAAGATGTTCAGTCTACTTCAAGTTATGTTCAGCCTACTTCAAGTTATGTTCAGCCATCTCAGCATACACCAATGGTGAGTTTTTACTATAATTACAAGTTATAATTTAACTTGCAATGTTTGTATGCTAGTGAATTTTGATCCACTTCTAGTTGTCGGATTAACTTGAAAAATGACTGGTTCACATAATCCCGATGATAATGCATAGAGAAAAAACGAAATGGCGGCTACAAGATGCCTCTGTAATTATGGTCCGATTCTATTAAAAATTCATATGTGGGGGTTTATCAAAATTATAAACTCAGGATGGCGGCTTCGAAATGACGAACGATTTTTGGACATTTTGCTATACATAAAATCAAAAAATTCATAAAATAAAATAGAAAAAATATATATTGAACTGAGATTGACTGCACACAAAGCATGGGTTATGTTTATTTTATTTTGGTCAATTTTTTCTAGAGTCTTCTCGATCTGCTTCAAGATAGCAACGATGGAAAGGCAATATTGGCAGAGCAGCAGATGAAAGGATGTCTTTCCTCGACTGCTAGGTCGACCTTGACAAAAATCATCATCCAGAATGAATTGAAAGGCGATGCTAGAAAATGAATACCAGGAGAGAGGCTTTTATACCTCTCCTATGAAATAAAAAAAATATTTCCTAAGGAATATGCTTCAACTTATTACGTGCCGTATCAGTTATCATCTGTTGGTTTGAAACAGTCAGCCAAGGGAAAACTGACATGTTACCTTAACAATTTAAGAAGAATCTACAAAAAATCAGGCTACATAGTAGGGTCGCATAGATCAGCAAATTCCTCCCCTTCAACGTCACGTGGCCAATCACCACTTGCAAGCAGTAGACGATTCAGCTGCCCTGGGCTGTTACAGGAAGACGTGGAAGAACAGATGCAGTGGCTGAAAAACTCTACTGACCCATGGGCTACTGTTGAAGTGTATTGGGAAATTACAAGAAGTGCAAGAATGCATATTCTGTCCAAGGAAGACATGACTATTAATGAATACTTTTCCATGTTGCCATGTTTACAGAAACCGGCTGGCTACTTGCTGGTAAATTTAAGAAATATTTAAATCAGTAAATTTCAAATGTGTCGAAAGTTTCCCATTTGACAATAGTGTAAATCAAATGGAAATATTCTGTACATACATCATACATGCAGTGTTTTTTCTTTACAGCTTATGAATGATTATGACCACCTCCATGGAAATGTAACAGGAAGTCTAGTTGCTAATTTTCCTCTTCACAAAGAGCGGTTGTTAGAAGTGATGAAGAACAAAGCTAATACTACCACTGTCCCCAGTTTGAAACTTGCATTACAAGAGCTGCTGACAGTAGCTGAATGTAAGTACCACATTAATAAATAGATAACATTCATTTTGTGAAATGTTTCACTATATTTTGGGACAAAAAAATGAAAAAAATAGAGGAACGCATTTTGAGATCTTTTCATTTAAAAATATATTTTTTTGAATTGTTTCTCTACTATATCATTCAATTTTCAATTCATTCTAGTGAATGTGAAACACATCCCTTGCGAGGCTTTTGTCCCTCTCCAAGATGTTTGAATAATAAAAGCTTAATCTTTTCGTATCTTCTCACTTAGAATCAATTATTAACGAATAAAGTAAATCAAACTGTTAGTAATAGCTAGTCAATAAGCGTATCTTCTACTTTTTAGTGGATAGTTGGTTTCATTAGGTCTCATGAAAGTTGATGGAATAGTATACAAGAATTTTATATTTGACGTGTTTGTTGTTGATAGTAATAATTGATTCTCTGGCCTTTCAATGCTTTCAGTAATTAATTTTTATTCGATTTTCTAGCTGGAGAAGAACAAATGAATCTGGCCCTCTTTATGGCTCTCACATACTTGCTGAATCTGAACTGCAAGCAAAAGGGGAAGAAAGTTGATGCGTGGAGGCCATCTAGGCTAGAGGCAGCTGAGAGCTTTATCACTTATGTTAGGTCCGCCGCTGAAATAAAAGAGACTGTCAAGAGACGAAGAGAAAAAATGGCAGGTTTGAAAAAGCATTTACAGCCGTTTATAATCATTGTAGGAAATGAGCTGAAGAATATAAATAATTATTATGTAACTGTGGACCAATATTTTTATAAACGAGGAAATATTATGGAAACTGTAGATACTTGTTTCAAAATTATACACGTTCTGAATGCTGAATATCCAAATGAATGCAAACCCATCTGGATGTTCATTCAGTTAGGTTTTTATCACATGAAAACAGTATTTGATTGTCATTTCACCACAGTAACAACCCTCTTATCGGAGCTTGGAGTACAGGAGGAATCCTCAAAATAATGCCTGTTTGTTTTAAATGTAGTGAAATTGCCAGTAACATAAGATCCCTTTTTAAGCACTTCAAGACCACACACTCTCTTGAATCTTTTCCGTTTTATCTCTGTGCAGAACGGGGGTGCTTCAGGAAATTTGAGAGCAAACATTCATACAGTCGACATTTTCGATTATGTCATTTTTCCAAAGAAGAAGAGCCTGTAACCTCATCTCTTGTTGATTCAGTCAATTCTTCTTTGGAAAATATACCAAATGAGGTAAGTTTATTACAATACAAGGAAATAGATAGACCCACTACTTCTATTCAAAGCCTTTTATTGCACTCTCCAGTAAGTTACGAAGGAGAAAAGGAATTTCCACTTTTTATTGCATCGCTTTATGCGAATCCACACTTGCCCAGAAATTGTATAGCTTCTATTGTTGAATCTCTCACTTCACATCCTCATGTTGTACGTAAGTGCTTGTCTCAAATGCACGCCTCAAATGCACTTGTTTGCAATGACTTGGATGATGTGTTGAAATCAATATCTGAAGCGATGAATTCAACATTTTCGAATTTCACTTCCGAACACAGAAGGATGAATTACTTCGAAAAGGTAAGTAAGACATTGATTAAACCACACGAAATAGTAATTGGCCGAAGAATGAATGCAGTGAGAAGGGGCGGGTGTTCAGTTTTAGAATCAGTAATTTGTACTTATCAAGTTATTCCATTACGTTATGTATTGAAAAAGTTTTTCACGATGCCTGGTATTTTTAGCGATACTGCTCAGTATATGAGGAGCGTGGGGAGTGGTGTAGTTCAAAATTTTGTCCAAGCTTCTTTTTGGAGGAAACAGGAGGCAATTCATGAGAATCGTATTGTGATTCCATTATTTTTATTTTTCGATGACTTAGAAACTGGTAACGTTCTTTCCAGCCATGCAGGAATACACAAACTTGGGGCTGTGTATGTTAGCATAGCCTGTCTTCCCCCTAAATGGTCCTCACAACTTTGTAATATTTTCCTTGCTGCTATCTTTCACTCCTCTGATAGAGAAAGTTTTGGCAATGCAGTTATATTTACTCCTATCATAGAGGAATTAAATTTTTTGTACACTTCAGGGATTGATATCGAAGTAGGTAGTACAACATCCAAATGCTACTTCCAACTAGGTGCGATAATCGGTGATAATCTAGGGATCAATTTCATCACTGGTTTCACTGAAAGTTTTTCTGCTTAACATTGTTGTAGGATTTGTTTAGTTGCAAAAGACTCTTTGAAAACACTGTGTTTTGAAGATGAATCGGTCCTTAGAACTTTCGACGAATATAATGAACAAGTCAACAATGGACTGCCCTTAACCACCACTGGCATTAAAGAAAAGTGTGTATGGTTAGGTGTCCAAGGATTCAGCTTATTTGAACAGGTAGGGGTTGACTTGATGCACGATGTCTTAGAAGGCTGTGCAAAATATGTTCTATCATTTTTAATTGTCAGATACATATCCGATCAGTTGTTATTTTCTTTGGATGTTCTAAATGATCGTATATTTGGTTTCGATTTTGGTCCCGATAACAACTCAAAGCCTTCCTTGTTAAATATGGATCATCTTAAGCAAGGCAACATACGCCTCACTGCTTCTGAGATGATAGTTCTTATTCGTTATTTTCCTCTTCTTGTTGGTGATTTTATTCCAACAAATGAACCAACCTGGCAACTTGTAATTACTCTAAGAAGACTCATGGATCTTCTGTTTTGTAGGTCTTTCGTGGCTTCCACATTCGAAAACCTTCAGGTACATGTTGGTGAACTGAATGAGCAGTTTCTTCTGTTTTCACATCAGTCTTTAAAGCCCAAATTTCACCTGTTAACTCATTATCATAGAATCAGTGCCAATCTAGGACCTCCAATAAATCTGTGGGCTATGCGTTTTGAAGGAAAACACCGTGTTTTCAAGAATTTTGCAAAGTCTAGTTGCAATAGAAGAAATATTTGCTTAACCCTGGCGATGAGACAGCAATTGCAACTAAACTTCATGTTTTTGAAAGGTCATCTGGAAACAAGATTCGAAATGGGACCTGAAAAACCCATTAGCAACATATTAAATGTAATACAGGAGAACTAAATTGCACTGAGGATGTGAAATCATTATCGTGGGTCAAATTGAATGGAGTAACATATTCCAATGGTTTCATTTTACTGTTTGACATTATTGAGGATGGCGATCCAATATTTATGAAAGTTCAAAATATTTATGTTTATAATCTCAACAACCAAGTGGTTTTTAAGTGCCTCAAATATTTCACAATTGGCTTTGATGAACATTTTTTTGCTTATGAAATCTCTATTCCTCGAGAAAAAATGTTTGTTCTTGTCCTTGAATGACATCGCTCTACAACCAACCCTTCACCACTTCACACATGCTCCTAACGGTAATGACTATGTCACCTGTAGAGATTACATATAATTTATTTGGGCTTCAATGTCACTTTTGTGTCCACATTATTTTTGTTCCAGTTTTTACTATGAACTTCTTGTATTTTGTATTACAAATCAAAAAAGTTGGTCTGCAGATTTTTTTCATTCAACTGCACACAATGTTGGTATCTATTACCATATACAGGGTGTTCCAAATTCGAGAGGTATCATTGGGATCTCAAAAACTATATGAGATACGAAGATGGTTGCAAGAAGTTGCGCAAATTGATGCTGATCCAAATGCCGCCTCAAAAGTTTGGGAATTCCGAATACTTCCGATGATATTTGAAGAAAAAAAACAAAAATCCGCGATTTCGTTTTTATTTTTTTTTTGACATTATTTGAAGTTATAGGGCAAAATGTGTTCTATATTAGCATCGCCACTTTTTTCGCTCTATCTAATGGCATTGATAGATTCGTGATCCGACGTTTCGTCTTCGAGGAGCCATCATTAACTTTGTTTTTTTTAATGGTCGAAAATAATGTTTGTCCCTAAAAATACTCGAATTATTCCATTTCTGATATCAACGGCATGTAACACTTCACAATTATCCGACGTTTCGGACCAAAAAATCATCATCAGTGTTATTTGATGATTACGAGGAAACAGAATATTTCGACCATCCAAAATAACAATGATGATGATGGCTCCTCGTAGACAAAACATCGGATCATGAATCTATTAATGTCATTGGATAAAGCGCAAAAGTGGCAATGCTAATATGGAACTCATTTTGTCCTATCACTTCGAATAAAGTCTCAAAAAAATAAAAATGAAATCAGGAATATTCATTTTTTTTTTTGAAATAAATTCAGATTTTTTAAACTTTCGAGGCAGCACTTTGATCAGCATCATATTGCGCAACTTTACCGTAATTCTCATGGTTTCCGTGATCCCAATGATATCCCTCGAATTTGGGACACCCTGTACAATACTATGCATCTACAATAACAAATAAATGTAATATCATATGTATCAGTGCCATGTTTTTATAAATAAAATGTTTATAATATCTTCAATTATTTTAATTTTTTCCTGTTGTGTTATTCTACTAAATTTTCAATATACTATACTACTTCGTGTGTTATTTACAGTCTTGTCACTGGATATGTTATATATTTTCCATACTTTATTAAGATATTATTTATTGCTACTGATGCTATGGATGTCTTGAAGCTGTAACACCCCACCAATATATTTGAAAGTTTGAAATAACCTGTGTTATAGCGTCAAAATACCCTTAGCATTTACAAAAAGTTATATCTTGATAAATTAATGAAAGCGATTTTGTACTTATGAGATGTTGTCAATACAACAATAAAATTACCTCATACAGTTTAGGAAAGTCCTGTTTCATTAAAGGTTTAGTAGAATAGGTGACAACAACAATTTCCAGTTGAATTGAATATAAAGTTAGTTAGAGAGTTCAAGAAAATCCTCTTAATTTTCAAGTATAGTATACGAGGAACAACAGAAGATTCCAGTAAACTACGAATTTAATTGAGTGGAAAATATAGGAAATTCCTGTTAAGTCAAAAGTTCTGTTCTATACGACTTGAAGGAAAATTTCTATAAATTTTGAAGTAATGGTTGTGAAAGCAAAATGTCGATTAATTTATATCACATCAATTTCCTGTTATACCTTATGGAATAAAATGTTACCAGTGACGTTTTATGTTTGAGAGTCACATTACAAGTATAATGAATATAACGATATATTCTAATAAAGTCTGAGCTTTACTGCTTGTATAAGACAAGAAATTCCTGTTGCAGCAAACAAATAGTCTTGTGATATACAACATTTATTCCATTTGCTAGAGCGTTCAAATTTACAGGAATTGATTCCTGTATTTTGTAGAAGAATAGAATCCTGTATTTTCAACAATCCATTTCCATTAGAAAAATAACTGTTTTTTCTACAGGAATCGAACCGCTGTAATCGTTTCATAAATATAACAAGAAATTACTTCTGTGCCTATTTTTATTAGAATTTCCTATTGCAGTTACTTTATTCCATTGTTGGTTACAGGGTTATTTTTATGAGTGTAAAAAAGACGCTAGACACACTTAGGAATTTCAACGTATTACTCAACGAGAACAAGTGTCAATATAACATGCAGTCCATCACGTTTCTTGGTCATATTCTTTCATCCAACGGCATTAAACCGTTAGATGTACATATCAAGGTTATTAAGAGTTTTCGTGCCCCCAAAACGGTAGAAGAACTACAGAGTTTTCTGGGTTTCGTAAATTTTGTGGGGAAATGGATACCTAATCTGGCAACAAAGACCGAACCTCTAAGGAAACTTTTGCGACTAAACACTGAGAAAAGTCCCAGGAGACAGTTCTTTGCTGAATTTTTTTCTCCTGTTATTGTCAAAAAAGTATCAATCGTAGTAATGTCGCTTTGCTCTCACAGAAAAAATCACTTTACCAAAACCATGTTACTGGTACCCCAAAAAAACTTTCAATTACGGAAAACAACTATGCTATCGGAGGAGAACTGCAATTCTATTAAATTATTTCTCATACCCCGAAAATTTACTTTTCTGAGAGGTAGAAATCTACTGTCGTAGTAAAGAGGTTTTCATGAATATTTCTTTATAATAACTGTAAGGCTCTGTGCTTTCCCAGCAGAGGAAATTATCATCATCAATATTTTCTTTACAATAACAGTGAAGTTATATTCTATCCCAGCAAAAAACTTAGGTGATGGAATCGGTTAGGACGCGCCAAAATCGCAAGTCGGTTGGTGTGTATTCCATTTATTGCCAAACCTGCCACTGCTGCAGATCGTTACCAACCGGACATCACTTTTTTAGTTCAGACAAAGATCCTTCAGACTAGTTCATTTCATTTTCGTGTCTCAGTGCATGAGTGCATCGTATATCGTTACAGCAAAGAGGAAGAGTCGCGGTCAGCGGTCACAGTGTCGCAAGATTTATTGTGTACAAAGGTGTTTTGTTTAGGTACTGGGTATATTTGTGTACTATTTAAATGTTCAAATACGTCCATGGTTTGAACACGTTCGTGTAAAACGCATGTTTGTTCGTGTTGTAGTACCTATGTGTAGTTATAGTTTTTTTCCAAACTGAACTTCTCATAGTTTGTTGTGCTTGGTTGTGTGTTGTGTGTATAGTTTATACAGCACAAATTCAATTAAATTTGCAAGATGACCGATGAGCGAGTCAAAGCATACCTGAAAAGCTGGGATTTATCAGAATTCATGGGAATCTATTTTTTATTCATTATAGATTCTAGGTTTTTCAAGACTGATAAAGTATGAATAAAGCATTTCATTACATTTTTCATAATGTGTTCTTCATCAAAATCCTCAATTCCTGAATGAATGATCTTAGGCTGGAATAGTTTCAACGGCTCAATTAGCAGAAGAAGTTAATTACATTTGCAAAATATTTGCAAGAAATTTCTTCGAAAGTGGAATTATCACTCGTCCAACAAAACTTGCTCAACTTTGAAAAAACATGGACTCTCACCTAAAAAACTAGGATAATCAAACTTCAATCAAATCCCCGAATTTTCAAAAAGTGATATTCAAATATTGAAAATATAGAAGTTTGATTGGAGTTTGCTTATCCTAGTTTTGTTGGATGGGCTGAAGGTACCATATTTTCAAAGATATTTCCAGCAAATATTTTTGCTATTGTCAGAATATCTTTACTGTATTAGTGATCCACTTTCCTATAACGAACTAATAAATTGGATCCTCTTTCTTGGGACAGTACAGTTACTTTCCTCCGACAGCAAAGTTACTTCACTATGACCAGAGAGTGACTTCCCCACAACAGTAAAGTGCCTTTCCTACAACAGTGAAGTGACTTTTCCACAACAGTAAAGTGACTTTCCTACAACAGTGAAGTAACTCTTCTACTAAAGGAATGTTACTTTGCACCAACGGTAGGTAAATTTTTTATAAAGTAGCTCTA